TAAGATATATTTATAAGAATCAATCATGAAGACAATCTATCAATGAAAAAACATACACTATGAAATTATCAAACAGATATTTTCATACATTACACGATATTTTTTTATATTTCATAAAAAAAATTGTTTCAAAGCAGCTTTGATCTTCATTATTTAGTATATGTACTATTTTCTAGAGATCTGACACTCAGCAAAGGCTGTAGGTATTATCTACTACATGGTGTATTGCATGTTGTGAATGGGTGGACATGCAGTAGTGGAAACCAGTCTTTCAGACTCTTCGTACCACTAAATTCTTTTGATGATCTTCTTGTTACTTTTCACTAGACTTGTGCCAAATGGGGAACCGAAGAGTCCAATTGAAAACTTTGCAGTGGATGCCTGAATCACTTGCTGAAAATAGACTTCTCTGCCTCCTGCAGTACCTTCAGGTTGGGAACCAAGGCAGAATAGTATTTGACTTCAAGACGGTCGGTATTAATACATCTCAGTCGAGTTATCATTAAAGATAGCAAGATGTCATAAATTTCCGAAACATCTGGCAGGGTTTTTGGCAGTTGTCGGAGCTTTTGGAGGCCGGAATAGAGGTAGATGTTTCGGACTAAGTACATGTACGTGTTTTCTCTGTAGATAATTATATTGTTGTCAACAATCTCTAGGGTCATGAACAGATGAAGGTCATTAGCGTAAACTCAATTCTAAATTTAGAAAGAAAATAGACATAACATTGTTGATAAGTTTATTATCTTATGTTCATTTTATTCAAGACGACGTTTATAGTTCTTTAACGTTTTTAACACTCTTTGAGATCTTGGAGTCAAAGTCTCCTTGTCAAACTTTACTGTTGCGAGGCAGTTTTTGCTCAGGAACACCTAATAACACACCACGCTGCGATTGCGTGTGTCAACTATAGGCGTGTATTTTTGAGAGTCCGCATAGCTAATAATTTCAATGTGATATCTAATAACAGTACTGATGCAGTGCGTGTTACGACATTCAGGTACATACGAAGGTGGTCTATTGCACTTACATTGATACATATAAATACTTTTCTGCATCTCTAAATGCAAATATCCAAAAGTGCCTGGAGTTTAATGTATATTGACAAGGAATAAAAGAATGTTTGTCAATCAATAAAGACCAAGTTTGATGAAAGATTAAAAACTTTCTTATTTCTTATCCGAATTTAATCAAATTTGCTTTGTATGGGTATAATCCAATTATAAATTCAATGGAAATATCGAATATTTGTTGTGCGCAAAAATGTCATAACTATGTGAGAAATTCGGGCAATCTCAAATATTCCCCCACCCCCACTCGGACGTAAACCCGGCTCCGCCACTGTTATAGATGGCAATCCCATTTTGTTAACTCATTTTTGAAATATTATCGGTAGTTTATGAGGAAAACTAGTTCTCTTTGAAATTTGGGATAAGGCATGATAATTTGATGAATTGGATGGAAATTTGGGTGTGTTCTACTCTCCCAAAAATCAAGCATGACGTCATATACAGAAATGTGGCTAATAATATTATTAAGTATAACAAACCGAAATAAAAAAAAACACCGTCGAAATTTGAGTTTTTGAATCCATATGTCCATACTTATCCGCATTTGAAAGTTAAAAAGACGACAAGCCATATATAGAATATACATTTATAGAAATAGAAAGTGATATTCTTAGCTTGAAGAATTATGCTATTTTTGTACATTTCTAGAACTTCTGAAGCCTTTTTATAAATATTCCAATCTCCGAAAATGACGAATCTGTCTCTTTAAGACTGTTATATAAATTTTGATCCATTTTTTATTCATGATATAGTTTGAAATCTATATTTACCTACAAAGCATGTTCGATTGGTTTTAATAGATAAGCAACTGACATTCTTCTTGTTGAATGGCAAAAAATTAATAAATTAACTAGAGCAGGGAGATCGACATTTCTTTCTTTAGTGATTAGGTTAATGAATACGCGTCCAAATGACATATTACTCGAAGCCGTGTGTGCTTAGAGAAGTTAAAACACCAGCATATTGGGAATTGAAAAATAATGGTATGCCCATGTGGCTTCTAGGCCAAATTCATTTCATTCTAAACTGAAGGGCATTGTTTGCTTCGTTAGTCTAATCTGGAGCAGTAAAGCCATTTTCCCAATGATAAGCTATTACGAACTGTGTCCACTACCTTGACAACAATTGATAGTCATCTGTCTTTCATCATGAAAGTTTGTAATGCAGCGATTTTATTGGATTGTACGTTAGCGAATACAGCCATTGTGAAGTAACAGAAAATTGGAATTGAATGTTGGGAGGGGCAAGTAATGTATCCGTAGGGACAATGGTGTATGATGTTAAGTTGCAATAATTGATGTAGTAGTTTGTCAGAATTTTTTCCCCTCCCCACCCCCTGTAGCTACTCTACATTCATGGAAAAAAGACGAGTGTAGATGGGCTGTCTGTCACTAGGGTACTGGCATGATTAAGCATGATTAAAATAAGTCAAGCAGTACATACAATGTCAATATATCATCTTTTCCTTATCAGAATATCTACTCTGGGAAATCAATGCTGTTACAGATTATAAAGTTACATTTTTCCTAAGGAAAGCTCATTCTGCATCAATGGCTCCCTCCCTCGGATTTTACACCTTCAACTCTTATAACCAAGGCCGTTAATTTTATGGGAGAAGCAACTATTGATGCTAATAATCATATGATGATTGACAAATCCAAAGGCGTGTTTTGTTCTTCAGGGAAAGCTGTCTCTATGTAATTTACACATTTAGACCACACAATATCAAATGTCATTGTGACAAGCTAATCATTGAAGGCTGAATATGGGGTTTTGAAGGATCGGTGAAGATTCAGTGAATTCGTCGGGTATTGTGTCAATCACTGAGGATAATAATTAATTCTAATTCCGACATTAATACTCGTCAAATATTACACCAGTGATTTTAAAACCCATAGTGTCTCAACTACCACAGGGTTGAACCAAGTCCACGGGCTATCACCCCTAAGAGGAACCCACCCCAGAAAAAATATTGACTTACGAAAGAGTCTGAGAATGCAATAGAGTATATGTTAAAAGAAATATCATGGGGGGGGAGGGGGGGGGGACACCCACCCAGACACCCATTCATCTAGTTGAAACACTGAATACGACCTATTCAAAGATCACCTAGAACTTGAACGATTTCAGATGGATCACAAGTGTAAAAACCGGTATGATTGATTTTGTAAACATTGACCTTTTAAAAAGCAAGACAAGACATAAATGTCATCACATGTCATTGAAAAAAGAAATGATTTAGAAAAGATTTATATTTCCTTTAACAAATTGACTTTTTCTTATAGATCTTTATGTGATATTTCTAAGTTCAATTGTACATTTGTTTGACGATTTTTACCTTCAAAACAACCTGTTATCCTCCAACGTTTAACAAAAGGAAAGAAAAACAAAAGAGAACCATTGAAAATTAATGGAAAATGTAACCGAAACGGAAAATGATACATCCGCCAATTAACAAGAAACAGCAGAACATAATATTAAAGTGAGGATGGAAAATTAACTTTGAATAGAAACCTAGATCTTCTGTACCTTTAGTATTGAATCGCTTTTACTAATGTATAAAGCACTACTCAATACTGGCATTACCAAGGAGGTTTAATATTAAAGTTCCCCGGGCACTACTCAGTTCCTCAGACATATACTGATGCAATATCGTCACTCCGTAACGTGATACAAGGCGATATCGCAACTTCTCGATGTGATGAACAGATGAACGGATGTGATATCGTCTCTGCTAGACGTGATGAACGGATGTGATATCGTCACTGCTGGACGTGATTTACGGATGTGATATCTTCCCTCCTTAAAATATAGACAAAAATCTGGGGACCTAGATAGGGCCAGAGTTGTCGGACTATATAAATCATCTGTACCTAACATACATTGCTTTGATTTTTGATTTATCAAGAATTATACGAGATACTTAAGACAGGAAGAGATCCTTGTTACGCCTATTCATATCCTTGCAAATGAAATTAGTGTACACGCTATACACCAGTAGTTGCCTGACTCTTCCTAACAGAGTAGGAAAGAACAAATCTGCAGACAATTCCTGGTATAATGATATCCTTTTACTAAGTCAGAATTCCAATAATTTACAGATTTATCAATTAAAAACAATTAGTTAATCTTCCTAATGGATTTTGTTTATAAAACTATAATTATGTTATGATTTTATAAAGGAATTATTCCGAGATGTATCCGCCGATAAAAAAAACAACTTACTATTAATACCATCGAAACTGTCGCGTGGATTATTAGATAGCAGATTGTTTTGGCCAAAATTCTCCTTTTATCGAAAGGTGTAAAAATTAGCTTTAGCACATCATCAGCAGAATAGGCCTAAATATAATTAGATATACACACAACGACACAATTTCATGGATACTTGAGTCACAATAGTGGTCTTCACTGTACATTATCCTCTCTGTATATGGATATGAACGGACACCTGGTAACTCTCGCAAGTATTAGCCATGGCATCAGAATTTGTCTGACCTTGAGGAGGATTCGAACCCACGACTTTATCACACAGACGACGACAATCCAAACTCGCTACAGGGTGAGATATAGAGAAACAGAACCACTTCAGTAAACATCTTAGGCATAGATCAAGGTACGAAAAATAGACCTAGAATATCTTCCATACATAACCTTTGCTACGGATAATAGATTTTGATAATTAATTACTTATGACTGCAAAGCTTATGACAAGAAATTTTGGCCTAAAACGTCTTCCATACACTACAGCTACTATCTGGGGAAAATTAACTGGGTATATCTTTTTACATTTACATATCTTTACTGCTGCAAGGATTAAATTGTTGGGATCGAATGTACTTTGAAGTTGTCTTTGGTCCGAGTTTTCCTGTATTCGAAACACTAAATGCGGAAAAGGATATTGACCCGAAATGGTGACATAATCTTTGCTTACGATACGATTTTGCTAAAGAATGTTCCATACACTAGAAAATCTCTTCTCTCGAAAGATTTCTCTAATAATTTAGTCACATTATGTCTTCCATACACATAATATGAATAATGAAAAGTAATAATTAATTTCAACTTACCCTTTGTAATTCTTATAAACAGCTAATGATTTTTTACTCTTTTTAAAGTGACTAGAAAAATCTTTTAAAAACGTTAAATAATCCGCTTTTTCGAAATATCGTAAATCAAATTTAGAGGGATTTTTCTCCTTTAGGTTCGCTAACATTTGGTCCACTTTGCTATTTTTAAAGTCTTTTATCTCTTGTAAGGGTGTTTCACCGTGATTGTCCTCCATGGCTTGTGCTTTCGGGGGTTGAAGAGTTTGTTGTCTTAGTCCCACATCTTCATCAAGCATATTTTTAAAAACTTTTAAAGTGTTCGAGTCTAAATCCACATCTCCTGAAAAATTACTTTTATTTAGCCTTTTTCGTCCAGCTGGATAATGAGCATGCTCTGACCCCCGAATGTCTCGATATTCCGATCTGTCCACATGATTGACGGCAGGTTCTATGGATAACAGGTTCTGTACACCTGATAATACGAACACGTGAACCCCTAATAAGGCACATATACTGAACGTTAACACACACACTAATCTATGCTTTAACTTCATGCTTGTATTCAACACCCATATCATTCCATTGTTCTAATAATATCCATTTCCATTGACTATGGTAGTTCCTATCAACTGTCAAACACACCGACTAGTTCTACCGACACCATACCTGTCAAATAACAAAATAACATGCTTAAAAATTACAAGTATATCTCTTAGCTAGGTTAGTCCTTTATAGCTGTTTACTGGTATAAGCCGAGATACACATCAAGTCGTCTTTTGTCGTGGGTTTTCACCGTTAGTTGGTTTGGACAAAAGGTGAACTAGTAAAACTTGGCCTACTGTAAGACGGCTACCTGTTTAAACGTACAATGTTTACACTATAATGTGTTCAGGTTAAAAATGGCTATACAAGTCCTTGCCACGCTCCTTCCCAAATAACACGTTATTTAAGCCAATTTTTTTACCTCTTATATTAGCACTATATATACCTACTGTCTTATCCAGTACTTTACCTGTCACTCAAAACTTTGAAAATATTTGAACACATAAGTTACGTACCCTATTATACTTTAAAAAATGTCAACAGTTTTTTTTTTTCGAAATTATCCTTTTTACGAACTAAAACCGTACTTTAGTAATCCTTTTTATAAATGAACTTATTATCCACTATACTAACTATAGCTATAGCTTGTTATCTTTTATATTTTAACTATACGACCAAACTGTTGAAATTGTCGTAAACAAATGAACACAATACATAGGCCTACTACTAGTCTGGCTTGAATGTCATCGTATGTTTTATCTATGACCGAACTTGTCAAATAAGTTTACCTGTAATATTACCGTTACCAGGTATAATGTATTTTATCTATAACGGCCCAGGCAATATCTGACTCTTGATGTACTCGTGTGTATAGTGGTATACTCTTATATAAAGGTATTTTTCACAGTTTTAAACTTTAAAGAGAAGATATAACTAGAGATCTAATCAAGATTTCATATCAGTCAATCTATCTAGCATCTTTTATATCAAACCGATTACAGATCCGGCGTTAAACTTGCTGATTGGCTATATGACTGAACGATTAGTATATGTGGTATATAATTGCTACCACGATCTGGCTATCTCTGACTGGCCTATAGCAACGATTGACTGTTTCAGATTATCAAATTATGATCCTTTCCTTTCAATGTAGAAATTCGGTGGCGTTGCTCTGTCACCATTCTATCAAACTTCTTATCATTTTACACAGAGAATGAATTGCGCGTTTGCCCCACCCCTCCCTATTTTGACAAATTATGTGGCCCTTCCTAGCCCCTACCCATCATGTTTGAGGCTAGTAAAGATAATTTTAAATCTATGATGACTGCCGTTATTCTATTGGACTTGATAATGGCATTCATTGATATCAGGTCATATTAACATATTGTTTTCAATATACATGATCGTCAACAGTATATGATGTAACTTTTTAATAACGACCATAACAATATGCATATGCCGCTGCCCTGGAAAAATTTCCCTCATCGCACACAGCATGTCGTTGCCCATTTTCTTTAGCCCAACCAAGTGCAGAAAACTAGGACGTAAAACTCCATTCATTTCATTTGATTATAATGCCTTCCCTTATATCAACAATATATGATATAACTTTTTAATATCGAATACATCAATATGCTAATGCCGCTTTACTGGCAAAATGTCCCTCATTGCACACAGCATGTCGTTGCCCATCTTCTTTAGCCCAATCATGTGAAAAAAGTTGGGCGTAAAACGTCTTTCATTTTATTTGGAAATGCGCTCAATATATCAACAGTATATGATATAACTTTTTAATATCAAACACATCAATGTCCCTCATTGCACACAGCATTTCGTTGCCCGTCTTCTTTAGCCCCATCATGTGCAAAAAGGTAGGGCGTAAAATTCCATTCATTTCATTTGAAAATGCGCTCAATATATCAACAGTATATGATATAACTTTAATAAAGACCTCAAGGATATTATGTATATAAGTAGCTTGTTCATGAATTTTGTTCATTAATGATCAAAGATCAAAACATTTTCCATAATTACTTTAGGTGGAGAGGGAGACATTTTGGTCTGTACCAAGGAGAGTGCTTGTAGGCAAGTTTTGACCATCGTCCCTTCAACACGGCGAAACAATTATATATTCTCTTCATATCATCTGAATATACAGATGTATTACACATTTCTACCGTGTTTCACTTTAAGTGGTAAAACTCAAGCACTGACTCAAACATTTGTTCAAAAGGGGAGAAGATTTAAACGACGGTGATTTTTTAGTTGCCCCCTCACTTAAGAACTGGCATTGGTATTAAACAAGTGGGATTGATGCGTGGTTTAGCGAGTTGATTTGTTCCCTTGAAGAGTTGACAAACTTTAAATTCTCTCCCTTTGCCACTCCCTCCGTGGAAACACTGAACACTGCTGCCATCACTGATACTAAAAAATAGCGATGCCATCGTAATACGCCCACATTTGTAAAGGCAGCTAATTTGTCCGGGAGGTTGACAAGAGTTATCAGTAAGTGAATTATCATATTTCATGGGTTATGTTTACAGATTTTTTTTATTCAAGTGGGATTAATTTAACAATCTTTTGAGTGGCAACAAGTGGTAAATCTTAATAATGTGTGGGCGTATAAAAAGTAGCATATTGCAGAGTGGTTTGTGGAATCAAGATTATGATTATACATTAACACCATAGTATTGTATGGTGTGATATGCCTTTATTATCAATAATGAACTAATAACAAATTTATTGACCAGAGTAAAATAGAAATATATTATCAAGTATACACGATATAGGTAATTAGACTATTATTAAAATCAATGGCTAGTCGATTAGAGGCTGTTAGATAGGCATTTAACGGTAAAATATGTTATTCACTTAGTTTTTTTCTATTCTCATTCACAAATCATTTAAAGTGACAATGTACCAAACAAACCTTGAAGAAAATGGTAGCACAGGACTTTGATACTTATTTTAGTTGTATGTATATCTGGAAAAAAATGAACACACTTATCTTACAATCAAAACTGAAATGGAGAATTCACAAGCTGAAAATCTTATTGCTTTCTAGCAATATTAAGGCAATAGTTAAGATCGGGAGTCTAAGACGTGTCATAAAAATGCCCCCCCCCTCATTCCTTTCCATCCTCGAGTTTTTTTGTTTTCTCAAAAAAACTGAAACAGATTTATCCTAATTGATGAACTAAAACGATCAAATAGGCAACAAAATTGGGCCCCGTAACCCTATAAAATCAAGAAAACGTTTCTGTCATAAATTCATTCAAGTGTTGGTTGAAAACAAGCAATGTAATGATACAACCTTATCTCATACCAACTTAATAGAATACTGATAGTTGTAGATGCTTTGCCTTAATCAATGGTTTGGTAAACGATAAGTTAACGTCCGCTTCCAGCAGATTCTGATATCGTTTCCATTTATCATCAGTACAGATTTTAAAGTTATATATATAGTCGTTCTATGTTTGCTCTAATGTCAGTAAAAGGTATAAACCGTGTAAATTTCTCTCCGCACAAGAAATTCCAAATAATTGTTGCCACATTTTGATAAATTACTTAAAAACTGTTGCCACTTTCGGAGAAATTACCTAATAAGTGTTGCAACTTTTGGATAAATTTTAATTCTCTAATATTTGTTGCCACTTGTGGATAAATTCCCTAATCGATGCCATACTTTTGTATCAGTCATGTGGTACTCTATTCTTCAGTTATATGGCCTCTGACCAACAAGTACATTGTACGCTGATAATTAAACACCTGTATACCTTTAATCAAACCCTTTAAGGTAATTATTGGTTATAGGATAGGTCGATACTGTTTATGATAAACAAATCACGGATAACGAGACAAAAACATTTAGTTTTTACTTTTATGCCATTTGCTACATTAACTCTCAAATTGTCATACTTTAAATGTAATTCTCTATGATAAATCTATGTGTCATGGTGAACAAGTTAAGTGTAAAATATGTTTTTAAAATAGTTTTTGATGGCTTTTAAAGGAAGCGGGAGAATAAATAAGTATATACCATAGTTTGATAACACTACAATTCAGTGAAGGAAATGATATTTTAATGTACCTGATATCCCAATCGAAAACACGGAGGCGATTGTAAATTCGTTTTTATCACACCTTACGGTTATCAACACGTTTCGTTGTCTTGACCCACCTAATGATGGCAATGCCTAGGTATCTGGTGGGAAACTGCGTCGATTCTAGAAACAGAACCGCTGTGTATTTCATCATTAGCTATCCATTGTCAGTGGCGGGGCCATCGGGGGTACGAGGGGGGCATTCGCCGCCACTGTCTGTTGTGCATCTTAAGGGGGAGGGGGTATAATTTAATATATAACAGACGTTCAACCACTTTAAAACAATACCTTGCGACATTTCGACGATGTCACACCGATCATTCTATCATTTTATATATTGAGCCTACCTTCCGATTTTTCTGTCCATAATATGCGTTTATAATCGACAGAAAAAAACACTATAGCTGACAGTACTAAATAAGTGTCCCATAAATCTAAATTAACTATGTTTACTAATTATGTTGTCATGTAATTGATATAATTACGTTATTTATATACAATATGGCACATCTACATTTTTATAGGCCTAGACTATATTATTACATTGTTACATAGTTATTACACCAGATTGATTGTAGGTCACAAGGAGGGGTGGGGGGGGGGGGAGAGGAAAGGGGGAGGGAGTGGTCCTTTACCAAACATCTTACGTTAGTTATACACAATTTGGCACCTTTTCATATTTATAAACAATATTGTAACATTATCAATTAGCATTGCAATTGATCTACGATAGGTTTTGAGGTCTTGGTTATGTGGTAGAGGGGAGAGAGAGGAATGGGGATTTAAAAACTTAAGTTCACGGAGATCTTGTCTACTGGTCCTTGGCCACTCCTCTTGGACTTGATCTTTCCAGAATTATCCATACCCATTGCAGGGTCGACTGGCATAATGAAGATAGTTGACTTATG